CATTCATTCATTCATTCATTCATTCATTCATTCATTCATTCATTCATTCGTTCGTTCATTCGTTCGTTCATTCATTCATTCATTCATTCATTCATTCATTCATTCATTCGTTCATTCATTCATTCATTCATTCATTCATTCATTCATTCATTCATTCGTTCATTCATTCATTCATTCATTCATTCATTCGTTCATTCATTCATTCATTCGTTCATTCATTCATTCATTCATTCATTCATTCATTCGTTCATTCGTTCGTTTATTCATTCATTCATTCATTCATTCATTCATTCATTCATTCATTCATTCATTCATTCATTCGTTCATTCGTTCATTCATTCATTCGTTCATTCGTTCATTCGTTCGTTCATTCATTCATTCATTCATTCGTTCATTCATTCATTCATTCATTCGTTCATTCGTTCATTCATTCATTCATTCATTCATTCATTCATTCATTCGTTCGTTCATTCATTCATTCATTCATTCATTCGTTCATTCGTTCGTTCATTCATTCATTCATTCGTTCGTTCATTCATTCATTCATTCATTCATTCATTCATTCGTTCATTCATTCATTCATTCATTCATTCATTCATTCGTTCGTTCGTTCATTCTTCGTTCGTTCATTTATTAGTTTGTCCCTTCATTCGTTCATTTCAATTCCTTACACTTTTCGTCTGTTTATATGTGTTTCATATATTCATTCTACATTCATTCTTTTATCCAACTATCCACTCATCATCATTGTCATCATTATCATTACTCAAGAAACAAAATGGCGTAACGAGGTGTTCGCACTTTGGCGGGAAGAGCATGGGCCGGAAACGTTCGCGAGGAAACTGCAGAAGAGGTTAAAGGTCAGATGATGTTGATGATGGTGACGACGATGGAGAGATGGAATGAATGAAACCCCATAATAAACATGAGAATATCATTCGACAAGAATATTTGCGAGAGACATAAACATAGGAATTTATAAACATTTATAATAATAATAATATTTTTAATAATAATAATAATAATAGCAATAATGCTGACATCAATAACATATCACGTCAACGAACTATAGCGTAATATTCCTATAAATAATAAAAAAATAATAATAAATAATAATAATAATGAATAATAATAATAAATAATAATAATTATAACAACAACAACAAAGAATAATAATAAATAATAATAACAGCAACGAATAATAATTAATAATAATAATAATAACACGGAATCCTGTTTCCTATCCATCGACACTGATAACGCAACCAATCGTTACTTTGATCTATAAGTCTGCCTAACCCGTAACAAACACACGCACACACGCACGCACGCACTCACATACACATGCGTACATACATACACAAACACGCACGTACTTACACACGCGCGCACACACGCACGCATATACACACACAAGCTCACCGAAACACAGACAGATGTAAACATATTTAGAGCCAAACTTACTGCAAATACGTAAAGAAACATACACGCCACACATACACACGCATGCACACGCATACATACACACATACACACACATACAGACATTTCTTCACATAAATATGTGAGCATCTTTATCAGCTTGTTTATTAGTTAAACAGCGTATATCATATGGAGTTAGTTATTACAGAGAAAAAATAACTCTTTACCAAAAATACTGGCATCTATAAATCAGATACGGCAAACTAATATAACTAACAAAGAAGTAAAATTACTAGCCAATATTTATAAATACTCTATGCTTGCCAATTTTACTTAAACTACCATTACCACTACTATTACGACGACTAATACTGCATTTATTATTGCTACTACTACTACTACTACAACGACGTCAAAACGATAACAACAACAACAACAACTTTTATAAGCTTTTAATTATTTTTCAACGTTATTACGGTTTTAAAGAAAAAAAAATTTATATTCAGCTCACTGGCATGGCTTATCACAACTTATTCTTCGTTATTATTATTATCATTATTATTATTATTATTGTCATTATTAATTATAGTCTGTTTCTTTTTAAATACTTTTAAAAGGTGATTTTGACAATAATGATCAAAGGACTGGAGTAAATTTTTTTCCATGTTAATAAATAATAAAAATAATAAGCAATAATAATAGTAATAATAACAGTGACAATAATAATAATAAATACGATAATAATAATAATACATTTGGAAAAATATTATTCATACATTTGTAAAACAATTATTCATGTTTTCTGGCATGCTGAATAAAAAATTATAGGACGAAAGAAAATATGAGAAGATGTACGCTTTAAAATGTTATTATAATTGTTATTAGTAGTAGCAGCAGCAGCAGTAGTATGAGTAGTAGTAGCTGTAGTTTAAGTAGCAGCAGCTCTAGTATTACTAGCAGCAGTAGTAGTGTTAGTACTAGCAGATGTATTATTGTAACTCGCTCTACTATGGTCTTCCTGACTCTATACTCTATCCTTTATGTAAAGCTTTTAACTCAGCTGCTCGTCTAGTTGCTCGTGTCCCTTTCTTTTCTCATATATCTCCATATCTTGTTCTCTTGCACTGGCTACCTATGAAATATAGAATAATTTTTAAAATTTGCACGTTCATGTATAAGTCTCAATCTATATTATCTCCTAAGTATTTATCAGATATATTAATTGAACCTAAACGCCCCGGTTTACGATCGTCTTCTTCTTCTCGCTTTTTCTTAACTCGTGTTAAACACTCTTTTGCCAAATCGGCTTTTGCTTTTTCTGGTCCTTCTTTCTGGAACTCTACTTCTTTGACTACTTCTCCATCACTTGCGAAGTTCAGAGCGGATCTCAAGACCCATCTTTTTTCAAAATTCATTGAGGAGCGCTGTTGAACATCGCGGAAATAGCGCTTTATAAGCTAATTGATTGATTGATTGATTGATTGATTGATTGATTGATTGATTGATTGATTGATTGATTGATTGATTGATTGATTGATTGATTGATTGATTGATTGATTGATTGATTGATTGATTGATTGATTGATTGATTGATTGATTGATTGATTGATTGATTGATTGATTGATTGATTGATTGATTGATTGATTGATTGATTGATTGATTGATTGATTGATTGATTGATTGATTGATTGATTGATTGATTGATTGATTGATTGATTGATTGATTGATTGATTGATAGTAGCAGCTGTAGTATTAGTAAGAGCAGCTGTGGTATTAGTAGTAGCAGCAGCAGTATTAGTAATTGTTGTGTAGTAATTTTAGTGAAGTAGTGCTATAATTATTATCATAAATTTTTTCTTCTTGAAACTTTTACTAATCTTACGAAAAATTTTTAAGGCAAATTTTTTTTCTTTTTTTTTCTTAAGATGTTTTGACAAAATTCGGAAAGAAAATAATTAATTTATTGTCTGTAAATTTGTTTTTTGGGTGGCTTTGCTTGTACACCATCATCATCACCACCGTCGTTATTTTCATTGTCATTGTCACCACCATCATCATCTTCTTCTTCATCAACATCATCATCATCACCGCCATCACCATTATCATCATAACAACAGCATCACGCAACCAGACACAGTTTCGCCAAACGAACTTACCTCAACCTTCAAATAAAACGCGCGAAAAAGCACGTGACCTCAATCTCGTCTCCTATTCGTCAGTGCAACAGCGTGGGGGCTGTGGGGTACGGCGTTGTTTTGAGTGACAGCCGCATTCCGGATAATGATTTTTTCAGGCCGGATTTAAGATTCAGGATTAGGTTGAGGTTAGTGGTTGTAATTTTTGTCCTATGTTGATTAGTTCGTTTGTTGTTTGCTTGAATTTTTGGTTGAGTAATTGACTGACTGGCTGGCTGGCTGGCTGACTAACCGACCGACCGGTTAGCTGATTGGTTGGTTGGATGGTTGGTTGGTTGGTTGGTTGGTTGGTTGGCTGGTTGGTCAGCTGGTTGGTCAATTGACCGGTGGGTTTCAATTTGGATGTAAGATAAATAATTGATTGCTTGTGGAAGTATTTTTGTTTATATGGGAAGATTATAGATACACACATGCACGAAAATATATACATACATACATACATACATACATACATACATACATACATACATACATACATACATACATACATACATACAGACGTACATACATACATACATACATACATACATACATACATACATACATACATACATACATACATACATACATACATACATACATACATACATACATACATACATACATACATACATACATACATACATACATACATACATACATACATACATACATACATACATACATACATACATACATACATACATACATACATACATACATACATACATACATACATACATACATACATACATTCGTATTTTCGTTATATGGAATCGATCACTTTTCTGTTTATGACTAAATTTTAATCTTATTTCTGTGCGATGCATCATGATTTCTCGTTTGTTATTTCAATTATGTTGTTAAGTTCAGTTTTTGTTAGATAGCGCTTTTGAGATTCGTTTATTTAGCGCTTCATAAATGTTTCAATAATAATAATACATACATACATACATAAATACATACATACATACATACATACATACATACATACATACATACATACATACATACATACATATATACGAAACGAAACGAAACGATATTTTATTTGCTCCATAAAATTAAAAAAATTCATACATACATACATACATACATACATACATACATACATACATACATACATACATACACATAAATAATATACATACATACGTGCATACATACATACATACATACATACATACACGTAAATAAAAAATTAAATACACACACATACATTCATACATACAAAAACATACATACAAAAATATACAAAAAAAATCATAGGTACTTGTGTAATTGAACAACAAAACAGGCTAATAAAAACATCAACAAACAATTTGTATAACTAAATTGAAAGTTCGAATGAGATAACAACAACTACTACAGCTATTACAACAACTACTACTACTATTACAATAATTAAAACTCCATTTTTAGAGAAAATCAGTGACTTAAAATATAAAATAGTATGAAATATGGTCATTGTCAAATAATTAAATGCACACTAAAACCCTATTACCCATTATCAATGAAAAGTGTTGTTAGGTGACATATTTAAACGGTTATACAATGTTTCTGTCGCGATAGATGGCGTATATCGATTTAATTGCAGAATCAATTAATTTGTCAATAAAACCAGCAGGCCATAAATTACTTATTAATTGTAAATTGAAAGTATTAAAGAAGCCAATCGGAGTAATTTCAAACGTTCATGCCGTTCAATATAACGTTTCAAAGCAACTGTGGATCCACAGTTGGACACCACATGCTAGTTCGTCTGTTTAGCGCCGCAGAGAGGACACAGCAGGTCAACGGTTTTCCCCTATCTAAACAGATTTGTGTTGGTCGGCAATTGCTGAATCAAATATTTTTTCGCGAATTTTTACAGGGTGTCTGGAATTGAATCCAAGTTTTTTGATCAGAGTTTTATTGTGAATGAAGTTGATTACGAAAAATTTTATTTTATCATTTTATTTTATTTATTTTATTAACATTTTATCCATCTATAATTCATCTTCTTCAGACGAAGCTACCGACTGCTTGTCTTCACCTTCTTCCTCTTCTTCTTTCATTTTTCTTTTTTTAAAAAACCAAGCCGCCAAAACAGACGTAGTTAAAGCAGCTAACATGGCGCCTATGATTCCTACAATTAAAATTACATTACTTGACGGAAGTTTTGCAAATACTTTCTCAGTTGTTTCGTATGAACAACTGATGGTGACTGTCCCTTCTTTCTTCTCCTCTCTGCACGGCTCCACCTCTCCGCACCTCCCGTTGAAAAGATCGCATCCAGCCTCGAATACTTCCAACTCTGCGAGTGCTGTATGATGATCTTTCATTCTCTCATCAGATGGTTGAATGAAAACAAATCTTGTGAGGATAGTGAAGTTCTCACAAACAACAATCATGGGGTTTCCGCCCTGTATCGCTTCTTCTGGTCCGAACCCGCACAAGTTGACTTTGTCTCTGATGTCTTCTCTATTGCTCACGTCGAACGTTTCGTTCAACCTTACAACAAACTTGTCCATTCTTTTCAGGAAGTCAGTCCATTGATTTATTCTGTTGTATGCTCTGATGAATCCTACGCAATATAAACTAAGCAGGTCGACCGCCATCCAGGCTGGCATGGCATCAAGTATGTGAGATATGTGGTAGCCGTCATAGTTGCCGTCTGTTAAATGTATTTTGTAATGAGCACCCATTGTGGGGTTGTCATGTTCATCATAGGTTGAACTGTAATAAGGAGGTTTATGTAAAGCTAAATTTTTCCTGAAAACCTCACATTGGTACCATTTGTTTCTGACCTTACCAGGGGGACAGACACATTCAACGTACTTATTACCATTCACCGTGGACTCAATACATTCCATTCCAACGGGACAATCTCCTCTACCTGATGAGCAATCTCTTTCTCTGCATGAATCACCTCTCCATCCCGGATCGCATCCATCGGGACAGTTTGCAGTAATTTCGTAACTTCCGTTGTTTCTGTTTCTGCAGTGAGAATAAGTCGATACTCCTCGCTGGAAGTCGTATTGGAAGCGTGTTGCGAATATCGCTATTTTTTCCTCATGACCCTGATGATAACATCTGCAAACTTCAGATCTGTCACTTGAGCAGGTATCACAAATTAATTTTGTGAAGTAGCTATTTCCTGTACCATGTTCTTGAAAGCAACCGCATCTGTTCGACGGGTCGATCTTCTGGAAAAACGTATAATTTGTCTCAAAACAGAAATGTGCGCACATTTCAAATGTGTAAGTGTTTGGTAATGTCTTCAAAATGACATCTCTCTGACGTGATTCAAAACTGGCATAGTCATCGTGCGTCTTTCGTGGCTTGCTTTTATAAACGGAATATGAGTCCCTTCCACCACAAGCATCTCTATTGGCGCAAGGAACATCACACTGGGATGAAGCCACTGCCGAATCTAACCTTCCAATACAGTTGCATTCTTTCCCACTCTTCAAAGCGATCATGTTGTTACTTTCATTTGTGCACTCCTGTGAACATTCATTCACTGAGCCAACTGATGCAACTGTCTTCGTTGAGCTGATGTTTTGATAGCATCCTATGTAAGATTCCTTCAAGTCGATTGCTGCATGGGCTACTGATGAGGACAGGTTGGTGGAGACAATTACAAATGCACAAACAATATATAACATTAAAAAATATTGAAAATGAGCTTTGAAAATGAAATTTGCTTACGTTACAACTGTTTACGTGTTCGATTGTATGACGTACTCAGGTTTTCTAATGTTTGAATCAGGGCATCGAACCGTAATTTTTTTCGTTTCAGTTTACGGTTTCGGTTTAATCAGCCAAACGAATTTCGGTTCGGTCCCGGTTTTCGTTCCTGGAATAATATCGGTTTTTTTTAGTTTTCGGTTTCGCTCTCGTTCCAAACTTAATTTTTACTAGCATATTTCTTTAAACGCATGTAACGGACATACAGACATCCAACTACAACCACAATGTCAATTTGAATTAAATTTTAGATTGTGAATAATAAGAAATCAATATCAAAAATAATGTTTAAACGTTGTCAGTATAAAAGGAATCGTTTTTAATATTTTTTTTCTAAAAAATAAAACAATCATTACAAAGATATTTTGAAATCCCTCATATAAATATAAGATTGTTTCAAATAACATGAAATTTTTTCTGATTATTAATATATCTTTTATAATGTTTTTATTGAAAACACTTCTGCAGTCTCTGAAGATAAATTTTAACCTAAAAACAGATTTTTCAGGCTCACTTGTGTAGCTGGTACTTCAAAATTTTGAAGATGATCGCACTTGATCTCTAATTTCTCTGATTATTACTGGATTTCTCTTCACGCGGCAACTTACTCAAATTATCGGCAAACTCAGTCGGAAAACGAGCGAAAAGAGAGATAACAAATTTTCAAAGATAATAAAAATTAATATAGAATTTCAAAAGATGAAATACTATCAAAATATTTTTTTTCAGAATTTGACAAAAATATTTTTTTTCACATTTTTAGCATCGAACCGTTATTTATTTCGTTACGGTTTTCGGTTAAACTAGCAAACAATGTTTCGGTTCGGTTACGGTTTTTGTTCCGAGCAAGCAAAATCTCGGTTTTTAACGGTTTTCGGTTACGATAGTTCCGTTTCGATGTCCTGGTTTTGATTACAAAAATACGATGGGTCTTGTGTTCTATTTTTTTTTAACTATTTGTTTTCTAAAGTATTTCTATTCAATTGTTTTGTGTCTGCGTAAAATTATAAACAGAAACGTTTTCAAATTTTTAAATATGTGCTAAATATAAATATGTGCTAAATATCAGCTTGAGCGGGGCATGTCTGTTTCATTTGATTAATAGCATAATTAAGTGATAATGATTATTAATGTAAGCTGGATGGCTGGCTGGCTGGCTGGCTAGCTGGCTGGCTGGCTGGCTGGCTGGTTGGTTGGTTGGTTGGTTGGTTGGTTGGTTGGTTGGTTGGTTGGTTGGTTGGTTGGTTGGTTAGTTGATTGGTTGGTTAGTTGATTGGTCAGATAGTTGATCAATTGACCGGTTGGTTTCAATTTAGGTGTAACATAAATAATTTATTGCATGTGGAAGTTTTTTTGTTTATATGTGGAAATCATAGATACACACACGCACGAAAATATATACACGCATACATAAATACACACATACCTACATACATACATACATACAACATACATACATACGTATATCCAACTGAATGCCGACATGTGCAATTAACGACAAATCAAAGTGTTAATCCATTTGTTACTTGATGTTTGACGGTTCAGTGTCACTCATCATGTTTTGGTTTTAACATACATACATACATACATACAAACATACATACATACACACACATATACATACAAAAACATACACAATTGCGTACATACAAAAATATACAAAAACAAACATAGGCACTTGTGTAATTGATCCACAAAAACAGACTATTAAAAATATCAACAAGCAATTTGTACTATAACAAAATTGAATGTTTGAATGAGATAACTACGACTACTACAACTTTTGCTACAATAGCAACAACTACTAAAATAATAATAATAATAATAATAATGAGAACTCTTTTATTTCCACAAAAGCCAAAATATGAATGAAAATTACAATTAAATATAAAATGATCAATTATTATAAGTTAAAAGATTGAAATAATGGATAATTTAACATCAATGCTAGTCAGTATGAATGTGTACAAACATGGTAAAATAATATAAAAACTAGAGTCAAGCTTTATTTCTGTCACAATATATTGCGTAAGTAGATGCTATCGCAGAATTGATTAAGCTAGATCTAAAATCGTCACGCCAGTTTATTTTAGTTTGAGCTAAATTGAAAGAATTATAAAGTCCTATTGGCGAAATTTCAAGTGTTGATTAAAATATTGCAATGTTTTAAATCATTCGATAGGTTATTCTTGAGGTTTTACTTGTACTCATCCACTTTGTAGTTTCTTGAATAATAACAATAATAATAATAAGAACAATAATAAGAATAATAATAATAATAGCATCAACAGATAGACGATAATATAAAAATAGCTATGAAATTGCAAGTGGGGGTGCTACAAAGACCATGTGAAACAAATTATCACTTAATTATCTATGTTATCGTCGTCATCACCACCATCATCATCATCATCCTTATGATGATGATCATCAGTAGCAGCAACGTCAACAATATAATCGTCACAATCATTATGACCATCATTATTAAGAATAGCAAACAGTTTTGTACCATTACTCTTTTATATTGTGGATTTTAAACAATTTTTATGCAATGTAAAGCATTATTCGTAAGAAAGAAATTTTGCACCAATAGAAAAATAATAATACACTAAAACGATGTTGTCTTTAAAGAAATTTTTTTTCATCGTTTCAATTTTTAACCATATCATCATTTTATTGTGGATGAAGTTGATTACAAAACATTTTATCCATCTACAATTCATCTTCTTCAGGCGAAGCTTCCGACTGCGCGTTTTTACTTTCTTTCTCTTCCTCTTTCTTTTTTCTTTTTTTCAAAATCAAAGCCAACAAAACAGACGTAGCTGAAACAGCAAACAGGGCACCTATGGTTCCGACAATTGCAGATACATGACTTGACGGAAGTCTTGCATATACTCTCTCAGTTGTTGATTTGCTTTCTTCAGTTGTTGCGTTGCTTTCTTCATTGGCGTTTGATGCAGTAGTTGTTTTGTATGAACAACTGATGGTGACTGTCCCTTCTTTCTTCTCCTCTCTGCACGGCTCCACCTCTCCGCACCTCCCGTTGAAAAGATCGCATCCAGCCTCGAATACTTCCAACTCTGCGAGTGCTGTATGATGATCTTTCATTCTCTCATCAGATGGTTGAATGAAAACAAATCTTGTGAGGATAGTGAAGTTCTCACAAACAACAATCATGGGGTTTCCGCCCTGTATCGCTTCTTCTGGTCCGAACCCGCACAAGTTGACTTTGTCTCTGATGTCTTCTCTATTGCTCACGTCGAACGTTTCGTTCAACCTTACAACAAACTTGTCCATTCTTTTCAGGAAGTCAGTCCATTGATTTATTCTGTTGTATGCTCTGATGAATCCTACGCAATATAAACTAAGCAGGTCGACCGCCATCCAGGCTGGCATGGCATCAAGTATGTGAGATATGTGGTAGCCGTCATAGTTGCCGTCTGTTAAATGTATTTTGTAATGAGCACCCATTGTGGGGTTGTCATGTTCATCATAGGTTGAACTGTAATAAGGAGGTTTATGTAAAGCTAAATTTTTCCTGAAAACCTCACATTGGTACCATTTGTTTCTGACCTTACCAGGGGGACAGACACATTCAACGTACTTATTACCATTCACCGTGGACTCAATACATTCCATTCCAACGGGACAATCTCCTCTACCTGATGAGCAATCTCTTTCTCTGCATGAATCACCTCTCCATCCCGGATCGCATCCATCGGGACAGTTTGCAGTAATTTCGTAACTTCCGTTGTTTCTGTTTCTGCAGTGAGAATAAGTCGATACTCCTCGCTGGAAGTCGTATTGGAAGCGTGTTGCGAATATCGCTATTTTTTCCTCATGACCCTGATGATAACATCTGCAAACTTCAGATCTGTCACTTGAGCAGGTATTACAAATTAATTTTGTGAAGTAGCTATTTCCTGTACCATGTTCTTGAAAGCAACCACATCTGTTCGACGTGTCGATCTTCTGGAAAAACGTATAATTTGTCTCAAAACAGAAATGTGCGCACATTTCAAATGTGTAAGTGTTTGGTAATGTCTTCAAAATGACATCTCTCTGACGTGATTCAAAACTGGCATAGTCATCGTGCGTCTTTCGTGGCTTGCTTTTATAAACGGAATATGAGTCCCTTCCACCACAAGCATCTCTATTGGCGCAAGGAACATCACACTGGGATGAAGCCACTGCCGAATCTAACCTTCCAATACAGTTGCATTCTTTCCCACTCTTCAAAGCGATCATATTGTTACTTTCACCTTTGCACTCTAGTGAACATTCATTCACTGAGCCAACTGATGCAACTGTCTTCGTTGAGCTGATGTTTCGATAGCATCCTATGTAAGATTCCTTCAAGTCGATTGCTGCATGGGCTACTGATGAGGACAGGTTGATGGAGACAACTACAAATGCACAAACGATATTTAACATTAAAAAATATTGAAAATTAGCTTTCATGTTTGCATACGTTTCAACTGTTTACATGTTCGATTGTATGACGTCCTGATGTAATGTTTAAATCAATTGAAAAAATACGATGGGTCTTGTGTTCTTTTTTTATTTTTAAATATTTGTTTTCTAAATTATTTTCAGTCGATTGCTTTGTGTCTTTGTAAAATTATAAACAGAAGCGGTTTTGAATTCTTAAATATGTGCTAAATATCAGCTTGAGCAGGGCATGTCTGTTTTGTTTCATTTGATTTCAAAATTATGGTGCTCATTGTTGAAGCGTTTTTTTATCGCTGCCAGTTAAGGCTAACCCAGGTTCATTCTGCATACAATTCAGTGCTGCTTCAAGAAAATAATATCAATTCATCATTTCGTGTAGGCAGCTTTCAATTAATAAAAGCGCACATTTTGTTTAGTTGTTCTTTATCATGTTTATTTTTCTTGTATTTTTTCATTTTATTTCTTTTTAATTTTTTTTTAATTTTCTGTTATACTCATATTTCCTATCACTTCTCAAACACAAACATACGATGCAGCTCAACACCATACAACTGGACAATTCAATACCAGACAGAACAGTACAATACAAGGCAATACAAATCAATGCCAAGTAAAACAAATTAATACGAAACAACGCACAAACAATACATTTTATCGAACCAGGCACAGCAGCGTTCAAAACAGCGATGACGCATCATCTTGCCAACGTGAGACAGCCATCAAGTTTGCCGACCAAAACGAGGACGGCCCTTTCGACCTCATCCTACACACTGGAAGAATAACATTGGGAGACTGCTGTAAAAGTTTCTCCGATGTCATGACCCTTGCTAGGCCCGAAGAACTCAAAATTGCTTGTCGGCGCAATCCGCTTTTGTTGGTTTCTATTTGAGTGTTTAATAGATTCGTTTTAAATTTTCAACAATATATCATTTTAAATGCATTTTAATAAATCACTAGATTGGATTAACAATCTTTAAAATTTAGTTTTTTCAAACTCAATAAACTTCTTCTCATCGTCTTACAAAATTTCCTCAAGTCACTTTGCATTGGTGGATGGCACGCGGAGAGCTCCAGAGTCCTACACGAAACTGATCTACTACAGTCAGCTAGTTTATTGTTTCGTGCCAAAAAACGAACGAAAAATGCTGGCAAAATTTCGGTTGATCCCAGGCCACAGCCCCTACGTTGAGGGGGGCTTGCTAGATAGGGAGGAACAAAGAGTTCCCTGGTTCAGGTGTTGTTGAATTATAGTAAACGTAAAATTTTTTATTATTAATAATTTTATAGTGTTGGAATGATTTTTAGCAACACTTCGAATCAAGAATGCAATTATCGAAGTTGTAAACCGTAATCTGTAGAAAGCTGATGGTGATAGAATAATAATCTCAATATTTCGAGTAATTTCAATAAAAAAAAAGTTTTAAAAATTTTTGAAAGGCACAGGAAAGAGGAGGATTTGAGATCAACATGTTACTTGAGAGAAGAATTTCAAAGAAGAATGGAGAACAACGAAGCAGTCAAGTACACACTACAAATTCAACTAAGTGCACGACTCGAAGAATTATTCTGGAATCCTCAAATGGTAGAATTTTTTTATTTGTAGTAAAATTTATTCAATTTATCAAAAAAAAACTTCAAAAACAGATTTGGGATGAAAAAGAAAGTCCCTGGCTTGATTTAATGCGAATACAATTGACTACAACCATTCCGTTTATGGCTCTCTGCCGAACTTACTTCAACATCGTCGATAAACCTTCATGTTTGCAATTCCGACATCCCAAATCAGCCTACGACTTCCACAGTTTCCAGTACTGCCTGTCAAATATGTACACCAGACTTGAGTTGGACCATCTTCAGATTGTCGTCTGGAAGAATGACAGCTGTCTGCAGAAGGAATGTTCAAAGAGAGGGAGAGTTCAGTACTTTGTTACTCTCTGTACAGCTCCCGTTAAGGATACCAAATCTCGTGTGGACGTTTTCTTAACTTTAATTGGTGCCGTTTGTCGTTACGTTGTTTTACTAAATTTAAATCATTTTTCATAATAAATGGATAGGTATGTTGCCTTTAAATATTTTTCAAGATGTGAAAATCAAACAACAGTTAAATAGTTAAAATTTTAATATCTTTCCGTAAAACAACTGTTGAAAATGTTTTCAACAATTCATTTTAACATTGATTATAATATTAATATTGTAGGCACTCGAGGCAGAACGGCCCCGCAGAAATTGGATTACCACCTGGACGAGGAGGAAGAAGATGATGTATCGTCAGCTGAAGGATGTGAAAACTTCATCATCAACACGGAATCAGTTGGTGAAATATTGGCCATCAGTTTGACAGTGCGTCACCGACATCTTACAGATGAATGGTTCCTCAGATATGTCATCCTATCAGATCCAAATAAGACAAATGTTAAGCACTTCCCCTGTTACAATGTAGTGCTGTCGAAAGTCACACTCAGGCCTGGCGAAGGTGGGTTCATATTTGTGTTGAAAAAATAAATCGGGCAATCACAAAACTACAAATATTAATTTCATTTTAGTTTAAAATTTAGATTATAAAAACATGTATTTTGACCAGTCAGCTTGCCCCAAAAGGACTGTCACGAACTCATTCGTCAAGAAAGGTTGTTGGAGCTGCGCGATCGAAAATCAGACTACCAATGGTATGCCAGTTCCGAACAACCGTTCGGTTGGATAGGTGCTGAAACCGTCAGAGATCTGCCACTGAGTGATCGACTACAAGCAGAAAAGTTTGCTGGAATGCCGTGGGATGTTGATCCAACCGCCATGGAAACGTTGCTCCCGTTCTTGGCAACAGCTGCTTCTAGGGGTCTTCTTCCAAATATACCTTTATTTTATCGACAAACATCCGCTACCGGTGACAACTTACCTTCAATTGGACCCCTGCTCCGGCAGTCGAGGATGCCTTCAAACAAACTGAAGCCCAGTTCACAAGCTGCACGACGTAGGTGGAGGAAAATAAGATTCGCCATCGCATTCATTACAAAAGTGCGATAATAAATTTATATTTTAAACATCTCTTGAAACTGTTAACTCATTTAAACACAACTTTTATTAAATCAAAATTTTTAAGGTGAGAATTCCCGATGGTCCGAAGGGTGACATGTGCAGATCGGTACAGGATGATGTTGACTTCGGTCGATACTTCCTCATGGGGCCCAACCCTGTGATGCTGCGAAGGTTGAGAAATTCTCTTCCTTCCAACTTTCCCATTGCCGACAGTATGTGCGCTGGATACATGAGCCTGGATCTCACTCTACAATCAGCACTTGAGGTACGAAGCAATTTTTAAATGTCGCTATAGCCCGAAATTTTTTAACAAAAATGTCATTTAGTTTGAAATTTTTACGACAAACTAAAAAATAAAAATTTTAATTTATTATCTCAAAATAATATCAATCATTGAGTCATGTAGTATATTAGAAAAAATTTTGTCTAAAATTTAATTAATAATTTTTCCAGAAGGGATTGTTGTACATAATTGACTACGCCATCCTCTCAGACATTCCAGTAATTAGGCGAGATTCCGACAACAGATATTTAGCGGCTCCCATCGTTTTGTTTTACGAAAGGGAATTCGGCGACATAATACCGCTAGCCATTCAATTAAACCAAACTCCGGATGTTGATAATCCCATTTGGACACCCCGGGACACGCCTGAAGATTGGATCATGGCAAAACTGTGGGTTAAATGCGCTGATTTCCACTACCATTTTGTCATTTCTCATCTTCTCAAGTGCCATTTTGTTGCTGAACCATTCGCTGTGGCCATGATGCGACAACTTTCATCCTCGCATCCGGTTTATAAACTGCTCAGACCTCATTTCAGGTTCGAAATTTATATAGATTTTGGAATAACAAATTAATTTAAGTACATTTGAACGACATGAAATATTCAGGTATTCCCTGGTAACAAATACACTTTTGAGAAGACATATTTTAAGAAGAAACTGTGCAGTCGATAAGTACACGTCAATCGGCTCGGAGGGGGTGAAGCATCTCATGTTGAAGTATCTCCAGGGAGAGTTCACTTGGGACGAGTTGGATCCCAGATGTGATTTGGAAAATAGAGGAACTAACGACAAAAATCATCTGCCTTATTACTATTACAGGTTTTTATAACTTGAAATATTTTTAGTCAGTTAAAAAAACAACATTAAACAACAGAGATGACGCGACGACGATGTGGAACTTAATTTACAAATACGTCAACAACATGTTGCTACTCTTCTACAAATCTAACGACGATGTCATGGAAGACACGGAACTGAAAAGTTGGGTCGCTGATGTTTCGGAGTATGGCTTCCCTGGTCTGGATGTCGACATCGATGCAAGCAGGTCAAGCAAGCGAGAGAGCTCTATAATGCAAAGTTCCGTTACGAGACAAGATTTGAACGACGCCACACAATCAGTGAGCAGTGATTTGGCTAACACTCCAAACGAACAAAATGGTGATAAGATTAGTTTTAAAAACGACTTGAAAGAAACTAATGAAACCATCAGTCATTTGAACGATTCAAATGGAAGACCTTCTAAGCCATATCTCTTGGAAAGCCAGTTGAAAAAGTTTTCGAAATCCAATAAGGAAATGCCCAGTTATGAAAAGTGTAATAACTTCCTATCAGATAAATATTTTTCAAACTCGCCTGCCCACTCAAAAACTTCCTCCTCTTCCAACACATCGTCCGTAACAACTGTCATACCCAACACCATGATTAAAAGAAAACAACCAAGACAGCGAGAAATGCTCCGTCTACCGACAGATATCAACACAGTAGAAGAGCTCTCGGACTTGATCACAAAATTAATTTTCGTGTCGACGTGTCAGCACTCGGCCACACACACGGAAGCCATGGATCTATACGGATTCATTCCCACAGTGCCCGCCATGATGAGACAGCCTCCCATGTCACGCAGGAAGATGACCACCAAGGATTTCATTCATAAAACACTTCCGGACCAATTTCCAGATGCGTATTATGGATCTTTGGTCACGTTACTACAAGTTCACAAACCAGACGAGGTTAACAATTTTTTCATTCAACTTACATGTTTCACGATTAAACTGCACGCTGAAACAACTTGAAATGTTGAATTTATCAGAACTCATTCGGAGATAGTTCTGAAACATATTTCGTAGAAACAGAAGCCAAACAAGTAACAGAAACTTTCCAAAACGACTTGAAGCGACTGACGAAAAGAATAGAACAGCGTAATAAAACAACGGGCATCATGTACGAAAATCTCTCTCCTACCTGGATACCAAACAGTGAGTCGAACCTCTGTTCAGTCGATAAAAAACCATACGCCCATGAACTGCTTAATATTAAAACTAAAACTATTGTAACCCATCGACATAAATTGGTAATAAAATTACTTTATTTATTAAAAATCTTTTAACAACATCCCAGGCGTCGAACCTCTACCGTTCCTGCCAAAAATCGCCAAAGAAGAAGCACTGTCGGGTAAGAGTGAGGCAGACAAGGCAGCCCACATTTTTATGATGACTCCTTCGGTGCCACTCAGCATCCTACCCATTTGCATGTACATGGCCAGGTCCAACGTTGGCAGAGGTGCGGCCGCCAACAAAACCGCGAAGACGGCAGCTTTCAATCAGGGAGTTGATGGCGTCGGAGTCCCTAAAAAGGACCGAGAGGATAAGATGGTGATGCAGAGGCAGAAGTTTAACGCAATGTTTTAAGGAAAAGATTCATTTCATCTTATACGTCATCCTACACGCGGATGTTTCACGCGTTAATTGATAACAAACTTAACATGACTCAACTGAATTGCACTTGAAAAATGATCACACACAGTTTCGATTTCACATGACTTGAATATATTTTTTGTATTACAAAATAAAAATTCATTTTATTAAGGGTGATTAGAACGTTCAAACCTCAATACCCAATATCATTCGCAGACTTTACCTAATAATATAAAATTTGTCTCAAATTAGTTGAACATTTTCTAACAAGAATCAAAACCAAGACATCGAAAATTGACCAAACACGTTTTATTGGTACATTATTTTCTGAGCCAATCGACCTTCACAAAACACATTAAAAAATTACATGGCGAAATATTTAAAATTTACAAATTACGCGAAAGAACTGCACACACACAATGCCCGCCAAAATAACCAACGGCCAATAAAATGTTCAAATGAAGTTAACAAATTTAAAGTAGGATGGAGAAATATAGCCTTTTTCGTTTCCAGGGCTCAAGATTACGTTATTAGGGGTTCTAAAAAATTGCAAACCATCTGAAAATAGAAGGAACGTATTATTCATTCATTCATTCTTTCATTCACTTATTCATTCATTCATTTTCATTCACTCATTCATTCATATATTCCGTTGAAAATGAAAAAGTTAACAACCTTTCAAAGCCTTATCTAAATCAATGCTTATGAGAACGTTTGAAGATCCCCTATACCCTGTAGGAATAACATTTTAAAAAAAATTTTCAACATAATTGTAATTCGTTATTCATGCTGCGCTAATTATAATTTAAATGTAATAATTACAAATTAACAAATAAACAAGTTTAAAAAATATGAAAATACCCAAAATAAATGAAAAAAACAACCTGATACGACTTGATCCCGGCCAGGTATACCGGGACAGAAATGTATGTATTGCCTTTTCATTCTACTCAAACCCTTTCGATCATCAATTAGGAAAAAAATGTATAAAAGATATTTTTAAATAAAATTGTGTAAATTGTTTTGAAGTTTATTTCAAATGAATATTTTAAAATTTAAAAAGAAACAACATATGTGTGTGTATTTGTGTGCATGGGTGTGTCTTTGAGTGTGTGTGTGTGTGTCTATATAGACATACCTACCTCATCTTTTATAGACTGCCAGGCTTGTTTAGTTGTTCCATGCAAAACTACTGGTACATCACTACTTTTTGTTATCGGGGTCAGTTCTAAATCAGGAACCTATCATTAAATAATGGTATTGAAATGAATGATTATAACATAACAATTATAACATAGAGATCAAACCAAAAATAAGCCATACATAACAAAAACAAAAATTGCAATGTTTCAATAAAGAATTTAAATTAATTTAAACAAATTTATAAATTGAAATAAATTTCACCAAATGAATCAAAATAAAATATTTGACCCCTGACCTCAATTGAGTGACCTTGACATGCCTTAATTTTTAATTTTCCCTCACAGTCTTTGTTCAATACAAATCTTTTTTTCTCATTTGTATCGACAATTTCTTTTATTTGGTCCAACTTGACATTTTTGAAAGATTCAAGTGCCAATATTTCATCAATATAGACATAACCATCTGCAAAATTTTAAATAAATTAAAGTAAATTATTATTTAATGAAGTTTTGACTTTTAAACACCATGTAAAATATAAATTTAAACACTCATTTGAGTTACAATTCAAATAAATGTATTAATCTATCCCCAAATCATTAGTTTTACTAATTTAAAATTCAAATTTATTTACTGATTGGTGTAATAAACCAAAGAAAAAAATTTATTAAACCACTATACATACCAGTTGTCATGAGTACACCTGACTTGTGAGCTCCATGCCGCAGTAACCAGGATAACCTTTTGGAGATTTTTATGAGATCTGTGTTCTGAAGAATGAAAATATTAAAAATTATTGTACATTATTTACTATTATTATATTTTTAAATTTAAGTTACAGAAAAAAAACGTAAAATTATATTTATTTTAGTCTTTTCAGATTTCACTTCTATTTTTTATTTTATAATAATGTAATTTGTAGTAATAGTAATGTAATCTGATTTTTTTTGTTTTAAAAAAAGCTTCTCCTTACCTTACTGTTATGTATTATCTGACACAAACTGATCATTTCATAGATGATTTGTAAAAAAATTTATATTACAATTTTAATTATAATATTATATTATAAATTATTATTAAAAATACTATAAATAAAATATTAAAAATTTAAAACTCATTACTAAACTAAAACACTATTTTAAAACAGTGAACACAAACACAAAAACTGATAGCAAAAATATTTACATATAAATTATAAAATCAGTGGCCTTTTCTGCTAAAATAAAACTAAAGTTGAACGATAATCAAAAGATATAAAAACAAAATGTCTCTAGAAGTCTAGAAACACGTTTTGTTTTAAACTTCTTACTTCATTCATCTTCTTTTCACTTTTGATTTGACAATTTAGGAATTAGGATGGCTATCGGCAATTTTCATTTTGTTTCGCTTTTATGACTTTTATAGTATATAAACGCATTAACATATCATGAATAACTCTAAATTTGAACGCTAAATGACCGCGATTATTGCGTAATAAAAAGTAATGTTGAGACGTCAATTAAAAGCTAACTTTCATTGTAAAGTTTAAACAAATAATTACCAAGCGCTTAACCACAATGAGAATATTGTTTGTATCGCTATGCTTACTTAAACGAGTTTTTCAACAGTAAGTCAGCCAAATAAAATAACCATATGAAGAAAAACGGTGACATGTATATAAAATTTATCATCGACACTTTAGAAATTCAAACAAAAACGTTTTATAACGGTTAGAAAATTTTCAAATTCAGCAATCGAGACGCTGAACTAATCCAAGTAACTAAACCAATCCAAGAAACTAGTCCTCTGAACTTTGGAAGAGTGTATATGACCTTTAACTACATAAATCACACAGCTACAACTTCGCATCAAATACTCCTCTTCTAGAAACCTTCTCTCTGTAGGACCATATATATATATATAGGGGAGATGGGGGCACATTGATCTGTTTTGAGGTTTTTTTGTAACAACAGTGAAACTAACCAAAAAGTGAATATTAATATTTGTGCAATTTACAGAGGAACATTCATTTAATGTATTAAGTTCAGTTTCAATTGTATAATACAAGAAATTTTTAAAAAAATTTAACTTTGGTACAACCCCTACAAAGGATCAAAGCACCCCATATACGGGGTACCATGATCCCTCCCATGGGGTACATTGATCCTAGGTATAAATCAATATGATTTGATGTTCATTTGCCTCCAAAAAACTCGTTAAAACACATTGGATATAATAATTCATAATTTTTAATAAAAATTAACATTAATTAAGATCTTTAAAAATTGTCAAATCAACGGGAAAAACCAAGTGACGACTGACTCGAGCAGTCCCACCATGCTGAATTGGATCTGGAACTTTACAAACAATGTCCTCTTTTATAAATTGATATAATTCAGCATTTCTACAGATAAAGTTGAATGATGACATCTTTTCCCTTTTCAAGTATTTTACCATTAAATCTCCAGCTTCCGATATTATTTGGCCAATGTAATGAATAACTTTCTTTTTAGTTTTAAATTTTACTACAACATAGTCATTATTTTTTAATGCAGAACAGTCGTAGTCCAGACTTGGGTCTTCTGCTGTCAACTGAGGATTGCTTGCATCACCATCACTGTCATCACTTTCTAGTGTTCCAAGATAATCAACGCTTGACATGGCTTTTGTTTTTTTTACTGTATCGGATGTTCGTTTTTTTTTATTCACACTTTTTTCTTTTGCAAGAAAAATTTCATGTTTAACTGGAGTGTCAGTTAAAATTCTTGTTTTTTGTTGCCTGTTCCGAAATAGCTTTTTTCTGGCTGAAGCCTTTGGAAATGGTTTCAACACTTCTGGTGATATTGGAAAGTGAATATTAGATTGAACCATGTTAACATCATCAGTCTGTAAAAAAATATTCTGTTTTCAAATAAAAATCGTATCTTGCAGTTTTGCTAAATTTAAGCATCAGACAAGAATTTTTAAAATATTTAAGAAATAGTAATTTTTTTTGACAAACTTGTGGATTTGAAGTCATTTGTTCTGGTTCTCCATCATCAGCTAGAACCATTTGTGATGGCTCCACATTATTGGATGTAGCTGTTACTCCATAAGCACTGTTGTCTGTGTCCATTTCTGTAGCAGGTGTATGGCGATCTGTAACCGATGCTGCTAAAAAATCATCATCTGTAAAAATGTCCGGATTGTAAGGTTCTATGCCAATAAACAAAGGTGGTATGGAATTACCAATTGCATTTATAGCACAGCATACTGTAATTAATTTCCCTCTTTCCTGAGATGTCATCCTTCCGACTTGTTTCAATCCTCGACCGGCTATAACTTTAACAGGCTTTTGCACAGTTGTGAGTCCAGTTGCTGTTGCTCTTGCCAGACTAGTCGCTTCAGCTGCACGTAGTGACAACTCGGGTCTTCTTTTCATAAAACCCTGGAGCCAATCAATACCAGCAGTTTTTTTCATTGACCATGAAGATGGGCATGTTATATTATTCGCAACGGCCATATCATATGCGAACTGGCGAGTTGTTTTGGTGGATAGTCCATAGTTCATCTTAGATGCTTGCAGCAAATACTTTGCAAGCATCTCTTCTTGTTCTAAATTGAATACCTACCTTGTATTCCAATTCGGTATCAAACCTACACTTGGACTGAGACTACTCTTCCGAACATATCGCTTCAATGTCATTCGGTCAATTCCAGTTTCACGTGCAACAGCATTGATAGCTCTGTTCTTTTTCAGAACTTCATCAACTGCTGTTCTCATCACTTCAACAGGTGTTTTACCTCGATTAGTTTTTCGCTCCCGATATCTCACCATTATGAAACCAAACCTGCAAAGTACACAAATTACATTTTACAATAATGGAAAAATAGCATTTTGCATGGTTAGAGAAAAATGACTAAACATCCTGGAGAATTATTATCTGAGGACAGTAGGGGCACTTTGATCTTCAGATCAACGTACCCCTTACTAGTACAGATCAAGGAGCCCCCATGGCATGGAGCACACTATAATGGCGATATCTCATCAATAAGTTGTGATTGAAAATCGAACTAAATAATAAAATAAGCCTCTGACATATCTTTACACATTGCAAAATTTAATTTATCAAACAAATATTTAACTGATTTTTAATTTACAAAACTAACCTGTTGTGAATAGTTGGTTTTTCCCTGTAAAATCAAACTTACTAATTTTTCGAACTTCAGCGGCAGAAAGTCCATAAACAAATAGGATTAAAAGTAGAATAGAAACAAAAGGAAAACTAAAATAGTGATGGCCTACATTTATATTTAGAAATAGCTATGTTATTGCTTAAAGATCAATGTGCCCCAGAGATCAATGAGCCCCCATCTCCCCTATATCCTCTACTGGAGTAGACAGACAGACAGAAGAGAGAAAAATAATCGTTTAGAAATCATAAATAAGGTTATAATTAATAAATTTAGAAAGATGTTTATTGAATTTTAATAAGAAGCGATTATTTGAAATTTCGATCGTATGATAAATGCAGCAGAACTAATCATTTATTTGATTTATTACGGCGCCACCGTGTAATTATTTTAAAAGATTATATGAATAGTAATAACCAATATATCAAGCATAACTAAAACCAGGAAATTTTTGAGATAACAAACTTGAGAGTTAAAAATTTGAGAAAAAATAATATGTCGGAATAATTTAATCTCTAGCTAGGACATCTAAAATAGATTGTATTTGGTGGGATCTTCTCACAATGATTAATAAATATTAATTTATCTAAATCACAAAAAATATTAACTAGTGCAACGTACAGCAAGACATCAAAGCTTCATATATAAAAGGTAGATACTTATAAATCTATACAAATGTGCTGTTATTATATAAATACTAATTAATATATATAATATATAATACTCAGGTTGAAATCACGTTTTATAAATGGATTGTTCATAATGTTGAGATTGAACAATAATTTTGTGCGGGCATTGTTGGCGGTAAATGAGGTTGTTGCTGCTGATGCTGCTGCTGCGGAAATGGTGGCTGCTGTGGTAGCTGTTGCAGTTGCTGATGGTGCTGCTGAGGTTGAAGCTGCTGTTGCTGTTGATGATGCTGCTGGTAAGGAGCTTGTATTGGTTGTTGATAAGGTTGTTGCTGATGTTGTTGCTGCTGCTGCTGATGTTGTGGATAAACTTGTTGTTGAAGTTGCTGTTGTTGAGGTTGTTGTTGTTGTTGATAATCTAGTTGAAATTCTTGCTGCGCTTGTCCATAGTCCTGTCCCTGGTCGTAAAAAGATTGCTGCTGAGAAACTGTCCCATCATGAGGTTGTCCCTGTGAGAACTGCCCTGGCTGGCCCACTCCATACTTTCCCGCCATTCGGTTCATATTACTCACATCACCTCGGTACTTGCCACCTACGCCACCATAGGGAGGGAGCATTTTCCCTCCTTCACTGCGGTAACCACCCATTTTGCTTTTCGGGGGATAATGAGGATTTGGTGGTCTCGAAATTGGGGTTGCAGGTCTTAAATAGTTGAGGGGTACAAGGCCCTTTCTTGAACCAATTTCTGCTTTGATGTAACCATCTTCATCTGGCTCGCCAAATATCAGTACTCTGTCGCCTTGCTTCAAACACAGCTCGTACTGTTAAACAAAAATGTTGAAATTTGAAGATGATAGAAATAAAATAATAATAATAACAGTTTGAAAGAATTTTGCTTCAAAGTTTGATGTTGATAATGATAATGATATTTTGGTGGTAGTAGTTGTGGTAGTGATGTGTATGATGGTGTTGATTTGATGATGATCACCACGGTGGTAGTGATGACGACGACAACTCACTTCAGTATCAGTGGCTGGCAGGTTCTTATCAGGGTTGTAGTTGTAGATGGCCACCATTCTTCTCGGCCGATTGTTTGACAGGGCTTAGTGAGAAATAATTATGTTGATTTATTTATAAGCTAGACAGGGCTTGGTGAAAATTATGCTAATTTATACATAATTTATACAGAGCCAGTTGTAAATAACTAAAACAAATTTATTAAAAGTTTGTAAGGATGACTGATGCTGTCGTTAAAGCCAATGTTTTTGCAACTACACTATGTATAATTTTTACATAACGCACGCAATTGATACCATTGTTTTCTCACACACGTTACTAATACAATTAATGAAAACCAAACGCTATCACTGAAGTCTCCACTATTTTTAAACACAATAAATCGCTTGTAAACTAAAAAATGCTAAAAGCAGTACAGCAAGATAAAAAAAAACCTATTCGAGCACCAGACGACCACCCATCCCTATAAACTCCTCCGCTCCCACCAACGTAGGCTCCATTTTTTTCTTTGCCGCCCTGCATAACCGGATACTGCGGTAACTTTTTACTATTTCCGATACTAAGCGTTTTACTTTTTTGGGAAGAATTTTTACTTCGGCAGAGGGCCAAATTGTCTTTGAGGAGTTGTTCGGCTGTGAGGGGGTTGTAGACCAGGACCTCTGTGACCATGTTTGATGGAATCAGGCCCTTCATTCCATTGGATTCACCCATGTAAAATCCGTCTGCGTCCTTGTCACCTATGACCTTTGGCCATTTGGACGTTTTAAGCGTTTTACGGGATTGTTGTGATTTTATATATTAATAAATAATATCAAATAATTGAAAAACGAAAATGACCTTGATAAGTTGACCTTCACAGAAGGGCAGTTCCTCATTTGAACAATCCTGGTTGGGCGACATAGAGAGGGGGTTGTAGTCGAACAAACCAACAAACAAGCGCACCCTATGTGCAAAAGTGTTTTTTTAATTTTTATTGACGCATACATGCACATACACACTAAGACAAACACACACACACAAACACATTCACACGCATACACACCACACACACACACACACACACACAAACACACTCACACGCATACACACACACACAAACACACACAAACACACACACACAAACACACACACACAAACACACACTAATATAAATTATATTTATTGGATTGGATTATATTTCGCAGACCTGTTCATGTCAACTTTTTCAATATCGCTACCAAGCAGAGAGTCCTCTTCATATGCAGGCTGTTGAAAATATTTTTAGTATTTTTTTATTCTATGTTATTATTATTGTTATTATTATCATCATTATTATTATTTTATTTTATCACAGTCATACCATCGTACCAATCATCATCGTCGTCGTCTTCATCTTCATTCCAATCATCATCATCGTCGTCATCATCATCGTCACAGTCATCATCACTATCACCTAACCTTAATTTTACTATCCTTCTTTCTAAAAGTGTTTGTTGTAGTAGCAGCGTCACTGTAGCGTAGCTGCTGCTGCTGCTGCAGAGGCATGACGTCATCGCTGCCCACGCACGAATCTCTCTTCTTCCTTAGCGTCGTTGTTGTCGACTTTGAAACCATGTTTACGTTGTTGCTGATGTTGTTATTGTTGTTGTTGTTGTTGTTGTTGTCTAACGATTTCAACAATTTTGGCGAGGTTTGCGTCTTTTTATCTTTCAGTTTGGCTGTAGATTTGTGAACATTTTCTTAGTAACATTATTAATGTTATATTTGTGTCCAATTCTCAAGACGCCAAAGATAAAAATCACAGTTAATGAAACCAGCAACAGATATCTGTAATACAATCACATCAAAACAACATCAATATATACAAAGACATCAAAACAAAAACATCAATATATACAAAGACATCAAAACAAAAACGTCATCAACACTGGCTGGTGATTCAATAAAAAACATAGCCTAAATGACTATTATAACGACGACGAATTCTTCTTCTACTACTACTTCTACTACTGCTGCTGCTGCTGCTGCTGCTACTACTACTACTACTACTACTAATACTGCAGACAACAACAACAACAATAATAATAATAGTAACAACAATTACAAAATGAGATTTTTGTAAAGAACAATAATAACAGTAATGCACTAACAATTATCCGACTGATTTATCGCCCTATCTGTACTCGACTCGGATAAGCTCGATTCTCTCGTTATTTCTGTTTATTATTATTATTATTAATATTAAAACATTAATTTTTATTATTATTATTGATTATTATTATTATTATTATCATTGATTTTAGATATTGATTTATTGAAACAATAGTAATAGCGTATCGACAGTGAAATTTTTGCTGTAATTATTAACAGTAAATCGATAGAAGTATAAACTCTAAGTAGTAGTAGTAATAGTAGTAGCAGTGCTAGCAGCAGTAGTAACGACAGCAATAGTAGTAGCAGCAGTGGTAGCGGTAGGATCAGTAGCAGTAGTAGTAGTAGTAATAGTAGTAGTAGTAGTAGTAGTAGTAGTAGTAGTAGTAGTACTAGTAGTAGTACTAGTAGTAGTACTAGAAGTAGTAGTGGGAGTAGCAGCAGCAGCGGTTGCTGCAATAGTATTAGTTGCAATAATACCAATTGTAGGGACATTTGTCCTCGTTCTATTGATCAAATTACGTTCATCATCGTCGTCGTCGTCCTCTTCTTCTTCTTCCTCGCTGGCAATATTTCTTTTAGAGACAATGTGGCGGCCACCAGACTAATAATAATAATTATTATTTTATTATTATGATTATTTTTTATTATTATGATTCTTTTTATTATTATTGCCGATATAGTTTTGTTATTGTAATTGTTGTATTGCTAGTGTTGGTGTTGTCGGTATCAGTGTCTTGGATGCTGTTGTTGTCATCATAGTTATAATAATAATTATTATTATTATTATCATCATCATAATATATTTGACGATGTTGATTGCTGCTGACATCTGGCGCAACAATTATATAAAATAAAAAATTATTTTAATGATATTAATAGCAACCAAAATTGCTCTAACAAAATTTCAAAATTAAACAAAGAGGATATTAAGAGGTAGATAAATCATCGAAAAAAAACAAACAAACCCCAATCACCTCATAACGAGTGGTACTGGAACTACCAGCGCCAAGAATGCCGCCACCACTACTACAACCCACTCCGTCGTAATCATCAAACTTCTCATCAATTCCATATCCACTATCTCGAATGCTGTCACCCCCCTGGTAACAATTAATGGGACGACCCTTTACTACCTCTTGCACGAGAGCGGTAGATAGTGTAGTGGGAGGAGTCGAATCCGGAGACTCCCATCTGTCGGTGGTTGTACGTATTGTTAACTTTCTGGGCTCGTTTGATGATGTCTGGAAGCTTTTCCAGTTTAAAACAACATGATCGCCTGAGTTGATGTGGTGGTGTTGGTGTTAACTGGGTGATGGTAGTTTGAAATGTCACCAGAAATGCTGCTATTGGGTTGAAATTTATTTGTTTTTTTTACTGAAATGTTCATTTAATTAATTAATTAATTAAAGTAGCAATAGTTACAATAAAATAATTAAGCGTTCCTCTGCAATCATCCACATTACATTTAAAAATCAAGCAAATAATTTCGTGAACAGCCGAACTAACTCGTCGGACTGAGCAGCTGCTTGACCTTTGCCCCGTCAATATAGACATTGTAGCCCGTGATGTTGGTCCTCTTGTGCTTGGCATCCAGTGGCTCTTTGTAGGCAGGCACCCACGTCACCAGAATGGTACCTTTTTGGGGCCCTATATCTGCCTGAACCTCGGATGGCGGGTCTGGAAAGTCTGGAGGGAGAGGTTGTTTGACAGTTTGAATTTTACTTAAATAAATGTAGAAAAAAACAAGGGGTAATTGATGAATTAAATATTTTTAAAAATTGAATAAAAATAGATGAATGACAAAATTAAAAACGCAGGTGGAGGCTCAGTCCGCTCTATTTCTGAAATCTTAAAAAAGTATTAAAATCCAAACAAGGAAATACATTTTTAAAATTTTCATTATTCATACTTTTATCAACGAATAAAATACAAGAATTCAAATCAACCTTTTAAAAACTAACCACAGTTATTATAAATAAGACGCAGTGCTATCTAAGATTTGAATTTAAATGATCTAAATTAATTAATTTAGTTAATCGGTTTTTTTAACTCAATCATGATTTAATTCGATTTTCAGACTAATCCATCCGAGCAACGAACCTCTGGGTAGAGTGACGAATGAAACAGAGGATGACGCGAAAGCCCTTTCCTCATTGTTGTTGACCTCGCAACTTATGCTTACGGTATGAGAGGAATTTGGTGGAAGACCTTTTCATCCAGTCAGTTGTGTGTGTGTGTGCGGTTTGTGTGTGTGTGTGTGTGTGTTTGTGTGTTTGTGTGAAATATATTGGTATCGAATGTGCATTCAAGTGTGCGTACAAAATCACACATATGATTATTTCTCGATCATGTAATCTTCTTTTCTATATATTTTAAACTTATATATGCAATTAAAATATAGAAAAGTTTATAAACAATAAAATGACAACAAAGCATTTATATTACATCAATCCATCCATTCGTGAATCTAACCGGAAATAAGACATTTGAATACTCCGGGGGCCAGGATATGATCCCATCTTTCATCCACGTTCACTCGATGCTGGAGGTAGCTACTGGCGACACACCACTGAACTGTGGCTGATCTTTTTGCAATGTCCACTACCTCGATCGCTGATGGGGCTAGTCTGGCGTCTGCGAGAGAGGTTTTGGTAGGTGTTTGACTAGGTATGCTTGCGATTCATCCGTTTACATGAGTGTTGTGTTGTTGTTGTTGTTGTTGTTGTGTTGTTGTTGTTGATGTTGTTAGTTTTAAAGACGATCGTAATGAGGGTGTGACATAAGGATGACGACGATGAAGTTGGTGGCTATGATATTCATACTTTTGCCGATGGTGATGCTGCAGAGTTGTTCGCAGGACATTCGACCGTCCGATGCGACAGCCCTAACGCTCACTCGATGACTCTGGTTGGTTTTTAAAATAACTAGGTCACCACGACATGCTTATCACTTATATTAGCAGTGGCAGAAGTAGCCACAGCAGTAGTAGAAGTTGTAGTAGAAGCAGCAGCACTAGCATTTACACAGTAAACCTTAGTTGTGTCCAGTTTTTCAAGAAGAGCCTTCGTCCTATCCCCTCTTGGTATGGTGCAAACCAGTTGGTCGTTGCAGTAGACATTGTACGATTCTATGTATATGTTTTCGGCCGCAAGAATACTTTCCTCTGGTGAAAACCAGGCCACGACGTAGCTACAACTTAACTGACGCTCTTGGTGCAAGTCTTTTGGTGGAGGTACTGTGGTGAATGAATTATCTGACTGGTGGTTCTCATTCATTTAAACAATTTCTTTTGCATTGAGTGTGTCATTTTCGCATTGCTTAGCAATGTTTCTTGATAAATTTTTCCAGCTATGTTACGAAAAGTATGTAGATTTCTAAATTATCAATTATACATTGGAAACTTGATTCGATTTGAATGTGATTCAATGTTCAAGTACAAACCGATCGATAGCTTGTCGATTATCTCAGTAATGACCGGTTGCTCGGTAGTTTCGATTCCGACCGGCGGTCCATCTCCGATGACGTCATATTCGTATCCGTTTGTTTCCCCGCGATCCAAATCCTTCAAATCATCGTCTGGCGGGGAAGAGGGGTATAATAATTTACACCTACAAAAAACTATCTCTAAATGTCTGTTTTTTGAATTTTTTTTTAAATTTGTACATTAGAATAATGACTTAATAGCAATTTATTTGTGTGAAAAACTACACAAAATGAGTAATAATACAAATGATGATGCGTAATACGCACGAATACAAAAAGATATCAATACAAATACTCGTCATACTAAAGATTTAGCACTAAAATTTCTTATATGGCCAAAAAAATACCTGGAACTTTTTCCACGTAATTGGATGGTACTAATCCTTTCTTTCCATCCATCAACTCTCCTTCATAATACCCATCCTGGTGTGTGTGTATGTGTGTGTGTGTGTGTGTGTGTGCGTGTGTGTGTGTGTGCGTGCGTTACTGTTTGGTTGCATTATATTTTGCATGGTTTAATTTAATGAGTTTAATGTTTAACAACTACTTTAAAAATCTTGCAAAATTTATAAAAATACCGATTCAGAAAAACAAAACTACCCTTTTAAAAATAAAACCACCGACCTCATCAACATCTCCGTAAATGAATAAATAATCTCCCGCCAAAAATGAAAGTTCAGCGTCCGGATTATCGTTTGGGGACAAGTGGAATGGATCGTACGTGAACTTGGCAACAAAAACCTGAAAATCATACCTGCTGTTTGTTATATCGTTGTTGTTAGTGTTGTTGCCGTTGTCGGTTATCGTTCTCGCGTCTGTTTTGAAGTGTACGGTTTCCATCAAAAATAGTTACTTGGCGATCGATATCCGGTCGGTATGAAATACTCGGTTATTTTTTAAATGGTTATAAATGCAGTGAATATTGTGGTTCATTGTGTTTTAAAACAGCTTTCAGTGATGACATCGGCTTAACGCTTGGAATGCAGAATCCAAAAAAAACTCATTTTCATACTTAGTTGTCACTAAATGTACTTTCAAATCTAAATAAATTTAGTATTTTTCAAGAATATAGTTTGCACCCATAATTAAAAACAATCATACATTACACTACATTAGATTACATTACATTACATTAACGTTTAATTTTCTAACCAACGCTTCAATCTCCACACCAACAGTTGTCACAAGATCATCTCATTATGACGTCAATTGCCAACATTACGGATCTACATTTAATTACAAATCAAACCAAAGAAAAAATACACCAAAGTTTATAAAATTTAACTTTAAAAAATCAAAATTTGTCTCAAAATTAAGTCGAAATTATGTGAAAAATCCTCTCCACCATATGAATACCCCATAATTAAATGTACCATCCGTGGCATTGTACCAATCAATATTCATACACACACACGTACAACAAAGGCACAAGCACCTATGTAATGCATGCTTACGTGATTGCTCTGCATACTAAATTCATTCATACACAAACTTATATACAAATATCCATACAAAATTGTATACATACTTACGTATATACATAACTATATGCATGCATGCATACGTTACATACACACGCACCCACATACATGCATGCATACAAAGACGGTCGCATACAAAATGTACAGGCGTACATACATGTGTGTATATGTTTGTGTACCATCATCATACATGCTCATTGACATAAATGTCCTACTCTTCCATCCAACAAGCAGAGCTGCTATATTTGTATATACCTACACACAAATGTATATATATTTT